GCACAGGCTCATCGTCGTCATCGGAGCTGTCCGGGATGCGGCCTTCTTTGTCAGCAGGCTTCATTGCAGGTGACGCCTTTGCCTTCGGCGCCGGCTTCCGCACAGGCTCATCGTCGTCGTCAGAGCTGTCCGGGATAGCGGCCTTCTTTGCAGCAGGCTTCATTGCAGGTGACGCCTTTGCCTTCGGCGCCGGCTTCCGCACAGGCTCATCGTCGTCATCGGAGCTGTCCGGGATAGCGGCCTTCCGCCCAGTTCTGCTTTTTTTTTGATGGGTTCCTCATCATCCGACAAAAAATGTTCAAGCGGATGTTTTACACCGGCTTGATGGACGCAAGAAGTGTCTCCACTGTTATGCCGTTTGAGAGGCTGTGACGCTTAGAGATGGGTGCCTCGTGCTGGAATGCCTGTGCAACGTCGGAGTAGTGCTCTTTAAGGTACTTCAGGACCGCGGCGTTGACTGTGCTGGTCATCGTTAGCGACTGCCACCTCAGAGATGCTAGCTGGAAAGAAAAAAAAACGGCGACATCGAGAATATGTTGATGAAGAGCATGGGGTCAAAGGCGGTCCCCAGAGTGTCACACGCCCCTTCTCACAAGGAGGCGACCCCTCAGACCCGGAGGACATGAGCCCATTCTTATGACTCCCGTTTCGCATTGGAAAAGCTTGCAGTGTTTCAACAACATGTAGTGCAACCCACATCGATGCATTCATTTATTGCACCAAAAAAGAAAAAAAAATTTTTTTGGCTGCTGCCGCCACTCTACTCAGAGAGTGCGGGGTGTGGATAGTGGCATACGACAGCGCATAGCACCCGGGCCGGTGTAGCGGTTGCGTTGCTGGCGGCTGCCCAAGAGAATTGTAGGGACAAATGCATGACAAGAAGTACGGACCAAAGAAAAAGAAAGAAAGGAGGAAAAAAAAAAACTGCGATAGGTATCGTCATGCTCACAAAAGACGCTTTTTCAACTCTTGCCGGCCCCCCACTTCGTACCGGAGTTCGTCAAAGCTGTCGTCGCTGTCGCCGTACTCATCCTCTAGTCGACGGCGAGTTGGACGCCTCGTGGGAGAGAGAGCAGAGGTCTTCGTGGCAGCCGCCCGCCGCGGTGGGCAAAACGAAAGGTTACAGACTTTACAGGGCTCGTCGGCGCGGTGCGTGTGTTGCCGATAGTCGGGCGCCGTCCCGTTGGCGCGAGCGCGATGAAACTCACCTCGCATGTAGTCTCTGTAGTCCCGAAAGGAGGTGACATCTCCGATGGATGCTACCGCCCGGGGGCTGGCGTGGATGGGCGTGTGGAGCACCGCTGAGGGGACACGATCCCTGAGGAAGGCACGGAAGATGGGAGACACACCACACATTTCATCCGAGAGGGAGCCAAAGTACCGCATCTCCCTCAAGTACTCGTTCTCCCCCACAAGGCGTCGCCACCGTGCCGCCTCCTGGTCCAGCTCTTCTGCCTGCACCACAGCCCAACGCCGCTCCTCAGACGCCAGCGCGTCAAACAGCTCCTGCAAACGTCTATCCCTCCAGCGTTGCAGTCTTCGGATGAAACGGGCCTGTGCCTTTAGCCTCTGCACCATCGGAGCAATGACGTTGTCGTGCAACCCCTGAAAGGCATCTTCTTCTTCTGCAGCCACCATCTGCAACGCTTCCAGAGCCTTGCCCAACAGGCTTGAACGCGCTCTGGCGTCCATCTCCAGCTTCATGGCTATGCGACGTCGTTCCCGCTCCAACGCCGTGGTGGCCTCCCGCTGAAACGCGTCTCGCAGCAGGTTGTAGCATGAAAAAGCCTGGGAGCAAATACACTCCCGCTGCCCTGCCTCTACCAACTGCACGTTTCGTAGCACAGCCGCCACGAGAGGAACAAGACGGGCACGAAACTCCCTCCACACCTCCTGCACATCGGACTCGCCTTCGTTGAGCAACTCCGCACGGGCGTTTGCCTCAGCACGCAGGACGGTTTTAGTTAACTCCAAAAAAAGTTGGTGGCGTTTGCGACGCAGTTCTGCGTAGTACTGACGCACACATCGTCGTATGCGCATGTTGCCCCGAAAGATGCGTTGCAGTTTGACGGCGTGCCGAGTTATACGTACCAGACGTACATACGCGCGGGCGGCGAAGCTGGTCAGGTATTGTTCCACAACCGTCACCATGGCCTTTGCGCGTTGCGCCCGCCGGGTCTCCAACATTCTGTGTGCGTATGCCGTGAGAAATACACGAGAGCTTCCCACTTGCGCTAGATTTTCGTTGATACCGGTGGTCTGCAGTAACGCTAAGCATTTATCTCTAAGCGCTGGGCTTGCCTGCCGTGGACGGTTAGACAGAGAGAAGAGATGGTACCGTCGGGCAAATTCGGCGCAGCTGAGACGAAACGGATAGTTGCGCTGACGCTGCTTAACGGTGCTAAGCACTCCAGTAGCCACAAGTTGCTCCAGAACCAGCTTCCCGTCAAAAAGGCCTGCCTGCCGCCTTGAATGGGGACGGATGCAGCGTACCCAGTCACACTCACTGTTGTTCAGCATTTCCATCAAGAGACGCAGTGAGTTACGAAAGGTCGAGGCGACGGTGCGGCGTGATGCACGCAATATTGGCATGGGGAACCCAGGCGCATTTGCATCGCCCAGCAAACCCACCATTGCATCGGTTATCTTCATCATGTCACGAAGTACCCATGAGGTGGTGTTGTGCAGCGTCTGTGCGCAGGTGTCCTTCATGTAGTCGTTGTTTTTCTCCACAAACCCGTGGACGCAGTACTTGACGTCCCCTGCATAGTGCCGGATCGTGAAACTGTCGTCGTCCAGGCGTCCCCTGTAGAAGTAGGCGGCGGGGTTGTCAATAGCCTCGTTCCGGTCCAGCACACTCTGCACCGTCTTTCCAGGCGCGGACTGGTAGTCGGGACAAAACGTCAACGTGATGGAGTTAAGGAACACAAAGTCCGGATTTGTGTGCGAGCGCCGTACGTCCAGCAACGAGGCGTCATCCAGGTGGGAGATGACGGAGTTCTTCGAGCCCTGCAGGAGCACCAGGCAAAGCTGATTATCTACAAATTCCGTGATGTTTGGTTCCACACCTTCCATGCGCATTTCCTCCATGTCAGCAAGAAACATCTTCTCCGTGTACAGCCTCTGCAGGGACTCGTTGGCGAGGTTAATGCAAAACTGCTCCAGCGAGTTCACCTGAAAGTCCTCAAAGCCAAAGATGTCAAGCAGTGCAATCCACGTGGGCGGCGGGCGCAGGCTGGAGGGCACTGGATGGTCCACGGGCAAGAGAGAAACCTCCGGGCAGTCAAAATCCGCCCCGCTTGCAGTGGCCGCGTTGATCTTCTGGACGACAAACAGGAAGAGCTTCGAGTAGATAAACTTGCAGATGCTGTCGCGCTGGTCTCCGGCCTTTTGCACCGAAAGGTTTTTTGTCACGCAATCGCCGCCGACGACAACTGTACTTGTGGTGAGGCACGCCACGAACACCGCCGGGTCAGGGAGAAGCAGAAGCTCCGATGCGACAAACGCCGCCGTCTGCGCGTCTCCGCCACTCAGTACGGCAGAGTCGTCGACCCGCCGCATACCAAACACGATGTTCTGCAGGTGCAGGATGGCACCGACAGCACTCCACAGCGTGTGCTGCTCCTCCGCGGAAAACCCGACACTCGTGAGAGCCGCCTGTAAAACCTGAAAATCCCTGGCGTCATCAACGCCGCTGTTTTTCAAAGAGAGGCAACTGCCTTTTCCAAGGAGGACAAAATCACGAGCAGCCCCGAGTCGAAGGCGCTGCCGCATGGCTGCTTCGGCTCCGGCGACCAGCTGATAAAAGACATGATACACACGCTCTTCTGCCCCACACGTGACGACACGGGAGCGCTCCAGCAGAAATGGCGTGACACGCAACCCCACCATGACTCCCTTCGCATCAAACTGAACCTCCATAAATTTTCCAAACCGGGAGCTATTATCGTTCTTTACCGTCTTGGCATTTCCAAACGACTCCAGCACGACACTACTCATCTGCACCCGTTCACTAATGCGCTGCATGCGCTGGCTCACAGCGGCATCTGTCGCCACCCGCTCAGACGCCGCACACAAATATTTCAGCATTTTCTTGCACGCCTCCGTTTTCCCACTGCCACTCTCCCCCGAGGCAATAATGGAGTGGTTCACCTGCCGTACACGCATCTCCACATATGCTCGATGCGCCACACCCCAGACATGCGGAGCGAGTCCTGCAGGAAGCTGCGCCGTGTCGAGGTGGTCAAGATAGGCCCCCATGCACTCATCCATTTGAGACGCAATGAGTTTGTGGGGATTCACCGACAGCACCATCTCTCCGATGCGCATGTACGTTAGATCCTTGACATATCGACCCCGCAACACATGAAGAAGGAGTGCATCGTGCAGTTCAGGCATCTCCAGAAGATCGTCGGGAAGGACGCCCAAAGCTCCCGGGACGGTGGGGACAAAAAGTGCGTCCGCGCCCACAGGGAGGCTGAACGTCTCGCCTGATTTGCAACGGACAACCACCACTGCTCTTTCCTGCTGCTCGTTCAGGCTCTCGACCACAGCCTGCTCCCAGGCCCGCACGGGGTGGAATAAAAAAACCTGCCGGCCAATTAACGACTGCCGCGCCCCATCGCTGCCGTCTACCTCCATCTTCAAAGCAGGGGAAAAAAGCAATAGTAAAAACAAACAGAAATAGTGGTATTAATAATAATAACAAACAGGCTCCTACAAGTACAGAGAAGGAGATAACAAAGGGAGATCACAGTTTGAGTCAACATGCGCCCATCATTCAAATTTAAGGGAGTTCTACTAATCCCCTGCAGGCGGTATACAGTGAAACCAGCAAGCTTTGATGACTGCACCCTCACAATGGACGCAGAAAGCGGCAGTCGTTGATGATCCACAACGGCCGGAATCCTCCCGCGCAAAAAATAAATAAATATCAACAGTAGTAGAGGGTAAGTACATGTGGGATATAAACAACTATATTGTCACCATCTCCCAAAGCGAGATCGTCGGAGAGCACTTCATGATGCGCATGACACAAACGAAAATAAAAATCTTTAAGCTTAGAAGTGTATATAACGGCAGCAACAACAACGTATGAAGCTGGAAAGAGTGGTCTCGCACATTTTTGCGCACGTCACCGCTAACACCTCCCCAAATTCAACGAGGTTAGTGACGCCCTCAGGCACATTGTAACAATAGAAATATGCGTCTTTGGTAGTCCCTAATAATGCACACGCATACACACGTTATCCCTCCCCCCACCCCCACCCACCCCACCTCTTAAAAAGAAAAAAAAAATGTCCATCGTTGAACGTATGAACCACATTTGAAGGATCCATCTACTGTCCTATACCATATTCTGCCCCTTTGGATAGCCAAGTTTCCTCATCTGATGCTCATGTTGGGCCAGCATACACCCAACTGTGGCATAAAAGACGATGTCTGCTAGCATTTTTATAGAATCATTTTGCAAGATTAAAGCGAATATGCTCAGCAAGCATGCAAGGCACGTAACACAGATATCACAACAATCATTCTCAAGATTATAGTGTTGAAGCACCATGAACCGATTGCCGTGTACAGCACATCCAAGACAAAAGGTAGCTTCCATGCACATACAGAATGGCCCAAGGCTTTCGCCGGCGCAACAAGAAAGATCTCCACAAAGTCCGGCGCAACAGATGTAACGAGACCAGTCGCCAAGCAACAACTTTTTGCGTTGCATTATAGCACAACAACAAGGACAAAAACACGCAGCTATGCAAAAACATGGCTCTTCACACGGCGCACGGAGCATACTTGTCTCCCATTCGTTCGAACCCTCCCAGTGCTGAACCTCACCATAACTTGCCGGCGCGGTGTAATCAAAGTACGATGCCTGAGCAGGGACGGCCGGTGTATTGGTAGCGGGTATGGCATTACCAGATGGTGCTTGTCCGTAACCTGGCTGATAGGGCTGCCCATAACCTGGCTGGGGCTGCCCATACCCAGCTTGATACTGCCCGTAACCTGGCTGAGGCTGGCCATATTGAGGCTGAGGCTGAGACTGAGGCTGGCCATACCCAGCTTGATACTGCCCGTAACCTGGCTGAGGCTGGCCATATTGAGGCTGAGGCTGAGACTGAGGCTGGCCATACCCAGCTTGATACTGCCCGTAACGTGGCTGAGGCTGGCCATATTGTGGCTGAGGCTGG